CTGATCCACTTGAATGCATATAGTGCTGACTATTCTAATCTTGTTTGTTTTTTCAGTTCGCCAAATGGTTATGTTTAGTGCTACATGGCCCCCACCTGTTCATCAGTTAGCTCAAGAGTTCATGGACCCCAACCCAGTTAAGGTATGAATTGTCTATAAGAAAATTAAGAATGCACATTGAATTTTTTATTGAAGAATGAAACTGAACTGTAGTAGATATGCTATGGTGTATTATTATTTTTTGCTTCTTTATACTCTCTACCGTTTACAAATATCTGAAAATTGAATTTTGCTTCAGGTAGTTGTAGGTTCTGAAGATTTAGCTGCCAACCATGATGTCATGCAAATAGTGGAGGTATGTACTAAGCTGAACAAGATGCTCAGACATTTCACTTTGTTTTCAATGGAATGCAAATATCATTCTTCTCTCTGCAGGTCTTGGAGGACAGAGCACGAGATGAACGCCTACAAAATTTGTTAGAAAAGTACCACAAGTCTAGAAGGTATTTGATTCCACAGAATAATAATAAGACAACTAACGGGGTTCAATCTTGTCTAGCCTCAACTTTGATGCATATAGTCTTAAATGAGATTTTGAATGCATATTGCTACATACACATCTTGAGTCCATTTCACACAAAGTGGACAACTTTTATTCAAAATCTATTCGCAAATACAAAACATATTCGAACTGCTTGAGTTTGATAATGCTTTGAATTGTCCTCTTTGAGCAGGAATAGGGTACTGGTTTTTGTCTTATACAAGAAGGAAGCATCTCGAGTTGAAAATATGCTACAGAGGAGGTAGTGTTAATTGTTAAACCTCATTCTTTAAATGCTGTTATTTGCCCTGCAAAACTAAGTAAAAAATAAATAACTTTTTTTACTGTTACCTTTCAATTGACTCTGCTGTGACTATGAACTTTGGTTAGTTGTTGATACTTACCCCAATAGGAACTTGTAACTTTTGGCTCTTAGAATCTTTGAAAATATTTTAATATATTAAATTTGTTTTTGGTCTCTAGGGGTTGGAAAGTAGTTTCAATAAGCGGTGACAAGGCACAAAATGCACGCACACAGGCATTATCACTGTTTAAGGAGGGAAGTTGTCCCCTATTGGTATACTTTCTTCCCCACTTTAAATTTCATTTATTATAATATGAAATTCATTTCACGGTCTTCTTTACTCTCTCCCCCCTTCAGTTTGTATATACTCCAAATTCCTTTGTCTCTACTATTTTTTTTTTCTTGTTTGCAATGATATCCTCAATCTTTTCAACGTTTTGCAGATAGCCACAGATGTGGCTGCCCGAGGACTGGATATTCCTGATGTTGAAGTTGTAATTAATTATAGTTTTCCTCTCACAACGGAAGACTATGTTCACAGAATTGGAAGGACCGGACGGGCTGGTAAGAAAGGAGTAGCTCATACATTCTTCACGAAAGAAAACAAGGTACTATTCTATTCAGTAAAGATGACAGTTTTCGTATTTTTCTTTGATGATTGCTACTTGATCTGACTAGAATTACAAAATTTGTGCAGGGACTCGCAGGGGAATTGGTAAATGTTCTTAAAGAAGCAGGACAAATCGTACCAGCTGACCTCCTGAAATTCGGTACTCATGTAAAGAAAAAGGTAACGCTCCACTCCAATATTGTTCCCTTCGAAACATTCTTTGTCATCCCACAAGAGCTGTGATTTGAATTGCCCGCTTCTTAAATTTGATTCCCCTTCTTGGCTGTTTCTTGTTACTGTTTTCGGCTTCTTGCCATCTTAACCACTTGCGTGCATGAATCAGGAGTCGAAGCTTTATGGCGCCCATTTCAGAGAAATCACTCCTAATGCTGCAAAAGCAACAAAGATAAAATTTGATAATTCTGACGATGAAGATTGATTTTGGGATGCAAAGCGTCTTATTTAAACGACGATTTTCTAGTACCAGTAGCAGCCAGCAGGGCAGTAAGAGGAAATTCAATTATAATGCTTGTACCATTTACTTATTCTTTCATCTGGATATCTTGTTTGCACACAAGATATGCCGACATGTTTTTGATGATATGGAAAGTACACTTGTTCATGTAGTTCCAATCCTATATTTATTTGCAAACTCTAATTATAGAAAAATGTCTCTCTGTCTCTATACAGTGTGCATTTCCCATTTGATGTGTTTGTTTGGTTAGTCTTGGAATGCAATTATTCTATAAACTCACACTTCAGTGCTTCTTTTGCCCTCTTTAAAATAATTGCACCCCACTATTTCATACATCTCAAATTATGTTGTGGACCTTGGTTTATCATGTGCATTGTGAATCTTGATCTAAGTTATGTACATACAATTGATATGTATTTTTGTATTTCATAAAACAATTGTTGAGCCAGATCTTGACTGTCTAATCTCACACATCATCCGTGTATGAGGGTTCACAAGTTCACATGATAGCAATATATATATATATATATATATATATATATATATATATATATATTTGGGTTCCTGTGAGAACAAGTTTTTTTATGCGGTCAATGCGGTATATATCATTAGGTATGCATAAATGCATCATACAGTGTTCGAGAATACACCAGCACCACACATAATGGTATATTTTCGAACACTGTGTGGTGCATTTATGCATACCTAATGGTCTATGCTGCACTGACCCCACGGGAAGACTTGTTCTCACAGGAACCTAACCCTATATATATATATATATATATATATATATATATATATATATAAAGAAGCAAGTGGGTGGGGCCCAGCTGTGATGCAAGCAACACTAGAAATTAAATATAGATCACATGGCGGCTCTGCAGTTCAAGAAACATCTTTGCCATAATTGAAATTTACCCTCACCATCATGCTCTTAAATGCACCTTCACCTCATCATCCCCCACCCAAAAAATGTCTCGTGTGTCCTATACTCCTATATGTATATTGTGAGACATTTTCATGTCGATTTTGTAGTATCGTATAGTTTTGTTTAATTTTTGTAGTAAAAATATGAAGAATTATTAGGGAAGTGGTTTTGGGATCTACAACGTAATAGTAGAGTACAAGCGTAAGGGAACAAAACTGCCATTTAATGTGCAAAGATGATGGAGACACCTGGAATCCATACACAAACAAACCCCCCCCATTTTAAGTAAACACTCATCACCTTATCGTTTCCTCTTTCTTTCTCTCACTATATATATGTATATCATTGTGGTGGATATAAAGAAAGCGACAAAGACTAGATCTTTTTGGACGAGCCTAATATGGTGGGTGTATTTTCAAGATTTTCTGTCACTAAAGCTGCCCATAGAAGAGCTCAAAGTGCCCTTGTAAGCAACACTCTTCTTTACCCTGCACTTTTCTTGATTCCATTGTCTTCAAATTTCTATCTTTTTTTTTCTTTTCTTTTCCTGTTTAAAGTTGCCTTGTTCTGTGATGTGTGTACCTCGCTGTGTTGTTTGATATGATGATCCTATGATGTTTCTAACCGTTAAAAATATGAGCTTTGAACTTTCTATGGGGATGCCATTTTTTAATTTGCTATTTGGAATTGTTAATGGTAGTTGAATGTCTGTCATGAAATTGACTTTATGCATATTATACTGCAATTCTCAGGAAAAATAAAAAAGATTAAATTTTTTGATGGTTTTATTTTGTTTGTCACTTTGTCAGAATAGATTGATGGTGTCATGGATGGCTCCCCCTACTTCTGAGTTTTAAAATGTCTTCTCTTTAGACTTTTAGAGTTGTTGTGGTGTAGGGTTCATAGTTTTTTGGCTTTGATTAGATTTGATTACAAATGCAGGATGAAAGGGAAACATGTCCCCAAAACTGTGAGGCAGCTGGGGCTTCTGCTGTAGCAGGAGGTGAGCCTACCACCACCACCACTCATGGTATTGAGGTCGCGGTTGAGTTTAAGCCGATTGAGCACCCTGTTGAGCCTCTCGACAATGATTCACCGATCCAGTGTCCTTTGCCAGAACCATCAATACTGAATGTAAGTTTGGAGGTTGTTGATGAGTCTACATAGGGTGTGTGGTATGTTAGAATTTGTTGTGCCTGTTACTCTGGTTCACAACTTCAAAATCTAGTAATTGGTTCTATGATCTTAGGAATAGGAGTAGGATTAACATTCTTCACTTTTCAATGATTAAGGTAAAAGTTTTTGAGCAATCAATGTCAGCCTCTTGCTTTTGGAGTTTTGGTATCTTTCAGTTTGTTTGTCGGGGCAAGTTGGTCAGATTGTTGGCTTGGTAACCACAAAGTTCCAAGTTTGACTCCCGGTGGGAGCGGCTGGCCCACTAGCTTTCTTGATTTGAGCCGATTAACTATGGGCAACCTAGGCTGATTTACCTCCTTGTGGTCCTTTGCTGGCTAGGGTCACAACTCACAAGGCCGGGTTTAGCCAATTAGCCAGTGTGCACTCTTTCCCTCGTTACCCAAAAATACTTTGTTTGCTACTTCAAATCTCAGTAGGTAGTCATCAAAATCATTCATACAGTATAACAGATGTAATGAAACTGATGAGAAAGCTGCAGGATGGAAGAATATGGAGGGAGCGTGTTTCTGCAGTACGAGGAAGGCCAGTTATGGAGCAGGAAGGGGCAGCCATAGAGGCAGAGGTTGCTGCAACGAAATCAAAACGCCAGACTAATCGACCTATTCTGCCATCAATCAGTGCGCCAGAGCATAGTATCTTAAAATTGCTCGAGGAATCTGGGATTTAGCTATGGTGTTGCTCTAAAACCTTGGAAGCTCTTTCAAGAACGAGAACGATGCATATAAATATATGGTTTTCTATACTTTTTTCTTCATTCTTAAAACTGCTACTCTTGAATGAATATATGCTTGCATATGTTATATGTCAATTATATTATAAAAATATGATCTTTCTCCTTTCTTGCATAGACCCTGCTGTATACGAATCAATATTTCCACCATTAGAATTTGCTTTCATGGAAGTGAAGTGAAAAGGTAAATTTTATTAAATTTGGGGGAACAGAAATGAGAGTGTTACAAAAAGCTCTTGTTTACTTCTCTTCACCCTACATCACACCTTTAAATGCTCCCTGTAAACTTACTTTGTGTACAGTACATGTGACCAAACAGCAAATAATCTGGAATTCAAGACAAATAATTATTCTATAACCGTGTTAAAAATTGCTAATTTGATGGAATGAGGAACCTGCTGTTTAGTTTAGTTTTGGCTTCACTATTCAATCTTGATGGAAGAAACACCCGATGTGACTGCACTGGTTCTAGGATCATTGTTCTCCAGGGCAACACCGCGGGGATCTTCTCTTACAAGTAGGGCTAGTACGTTATGTGAACTCCATGCTTTTACGACATTGTTGCTTGAAGACCCTAAGGTAACAGCAAAGACTGCATCAAACCCACCTGCACCTGGAACACCAGCCAATACAACTCCCTCCATATTCATCGTAGCATCCAGAAGCCGAGTTTGTGATTCTGGTTCTATCTGTAGATGTAGAGATGTGGTATAAAAGAAATGATCAAAATGGAGGGAAAACAAACTACTTAGTACAGACAGAGAATCCTTTTGACCAACAATCACTGAGTTTGCAGCATTATATATATATATATATATATATATATATATATATATATATATATATGAATAAAGATGGCAAGAAATTGGTGGCAAAATTTTGGATCAGCAATAAGTGTGCAGAAATACAGAAACTCCTGCAGAAGGTTAATTAGCAATAGCAAAATCCAAAATAAATTTCGGTTGGTTCATAGAGGCACAAGGATGGGCTTTACTTTTGGCAGGGAGATAGCGGGTTGGGGAAAATAGAGGAACGAAGAAAGAAATGAGCTTCCCTATCTAGTGGAAGAGAACTCACCGGGATTCCAGCAGCCTCACCCATTTTCCGCATGTGATATCTGATCCCAAGTATGGCATCCCGAGCTCCTAATAATTCCTTAATGACTTCTCTTTGATGCGGCTCATTTGCTGCCTCCATCCACTGTTGATGAAAAACATAATTTTTGAAGGTCAACTCAAACATCCACAGTTTGATTAGAATTCTAGAATGGGTTTCTCAATTACAGGCTTGACCATATTTATCACCTTTAGCAACTACATGGATACTTAAATGGAGAATAGGCTATCAGAAAAAATGAGGTTCATAACGAGGACACGTATCAATATCCATCGCTTAAGATAAAAAGAATGCAGAAGTTTTCTTAAGAAAAATCTGTTGTATATGCAATCAGCAGGCATTTCAATGCACAAATTATTGAAGTTGATGTAAAGCTACTGACAAGTAATATTTGTTTTCGGAAGATACTAAGATTTACCTTTCCAGATGGAAGTGCGGAGCAGCTGTTGATAACACACTCGTAAGCAGTATAATTACTTTCTGCTAACTTACATAAGGCGTACAGGTGCATTTCGAGTGAAGAGTTTCCTTCTAATAAATTCCTCCATGTTTGTAGAGAATTTTGAGGGTCTGCCTTTTGCCATTTCTTTACAGCTCCTACCATTGAGGGTGTGGAAGATCCTCCAGTTCCTGGCTCTCCTAGTAACTGCAAAGAGCAGTATTAGCACTTCAAAATAGAGGTAAAATCGCTGTGCATGAAACACGATTCAGAATTCATTAGAAGTAACAGTCTGCAGCAGTAAAATGTTTTAGAAACGAAAGAGAAGAAAAGCTTCTTCCTTTTCTTTTGCGTTCCATATGTGGGTCGGGGGCATATGAAAGCTTTAATCCAAAAAAATGTTTTAATTATCTTGCAGATCTCGCCTTGCTTAACACAGCACATAGCATATAAAATTTAAAACACTGCGGTATATACCCATCTTAACATGGCACCATGAGACAGCTTTCTGCTTGTAAACACTATCGACATCATTTAGCATTTGAAGCAGATAGGCAAAGCTACAGTAAGAAACATGACATACGCCTCATAAAACTTACAAGAGTCATCAAGGGAGGCAACGAGAATTTGGTCCTCTCATGATCCCACTTTGCTTTTAGGACCTCGCTGATGACTTCTGTCAATGGTGTTGCCATACCTGCATTCTGGAAATCCATGAAAAAAAAAAAAAAAAGGACAAGTAAATCTAATTATCCAGGAAATTAAAACATAACTTACTCTAATTATATATTTATATGCAAAAAAAAATGAAAAAAAAAAAATCGAAGGTAAAGAAAAAGTCACAACCAAGAGAAAACTCAGACTTTATTTCTATTACTCCTTTAGGACAAAGAAAATTGGTTCTAGAGCATCTTAACACATGAAAGATAAGGAGTGAAATGCATACCTGAGCAGGAGAAAGCACTTCAGGTGAAAACCGTACATAGCGTTGGCTTCCATATACTGCAGAACTCACATCAAATCCACTACCAACTTTACCCTGTGCTATACAGTGGGCCGTTTGAGCAATAATGTGAACAACATCAAGAACAGCAGTATCTTTCTCTTCTTGAATATGATTATCAGTTGAGGAAAGCTTAACAACACCAAGGTAATGAAGCAAAGCAGCAACAACTGCAGTTGTCATAGCTGCCGATGATCCCAATCCAGTCTTTGCAACTTCAGGTTTGCGATTTTCCCCACCTGATTCTTCTGCATTAAAGGTGATTGAACTGAAAGGTGGAAGGGAAGCCAAAGATTCAGGTGTAAGAGGAAGTCCACGTGCTTCAATCTACAAATCGAAGAGTTAAAAGATTAATGTCAGCAATGTATAAGAGACTAAAACAACCTTTTCATTTCTTATCTTTGGCATGGACTCAGGAGGGGAGGAAAGGGGGAAATCTACATGTAGCATGTTGATAACATTATTTATTTTATTTGTGTCGATTGTGCTGAAGAACCTCTGGACCTTGCAATACTTCAGCTCAAAATGCATACAATGTGTTTTTTATGATAAAAATAATTCGCATCACATACTTGATGGTTATTGTCCAAAGAATTGAAGTATGGTCACTATGGAAAAGATAATATATGCCAACAAATAAAAAGGTGCAAGCAATAATCATCAGTAAAAAAGTAAAAACATAGCACATGCAGATTATTCATATATGTTGTCAATAGTTTGAGGATGGAATACCTGGTTCCGATATGAATAGAATTCATTGCAACCCAAGATTGTAATATCAAGACCTGCATGATAATCCGGTTATAATGTTAATTGTTTGTTTTCTTTCTTTGAAAACTAATTGCAAATTGGCACAGTATTTTGGAAATGTCTAATTTTTAGACAAGGCAAATATTCAAAGTACCAGATATTACCTTGCAAAAGTAGCTTATGTAATGCATCCTTCTTATCATTGTCAAAGGTTGCATGTGCTGCTGCTACAGCATACTCCACTGCATATTCCACGAAAGGATTTCTTGAATCACTGTTATACAGCCATCAATACAAAGCATCCATCAGTACATATAAGGGCAGGCCAGGCTTTGCATCTAATTCACAATTGTTTAAACATGAAAACCAACCAAAATAATGTTTCTAATCAAATATGGATTAATGGTACATATGTTCCATCCAAGTAAAAAAGACATGAACTGAGCGAAATTTTAAAACTTGCCTTGAAGAGACAGACTGAAGTGTCAAGTTTTTAAGGGACAATTTGTAAACGGTTTCTCTTGACATCTGAGGAGAAGTTAATTTCACATCTGTCCATGCCTGCATAGTCACAGTGCAGCCTAAGATAAATAAAACCTTGCATGTGAAAATGTGAAAGTAGAATTCATCTTCCAAAAAAAAAAAAACGATGGAAATGAGCTTGGCAAAGAACAAACTGAAGTGTACAGTGATCAAAGAAAATAAATAACAGTTATGAAAATGCAGACTTCTAGTCAATTCTAAAACAGTTAAGCAAGTCAAACACTAAGAAAACAGCATTCAGTAATGAAAAGGGTCAAAATATGAGGAAGAATTCAACAAGCATAATTTGTAGTCATTAGAAAATCCCAAATTTCTTCTACCACCAAAGAAACATGAAAGCCAACCAATTAGACTACCACACCATTCTAAAAAAATTGCCCAGGAAAAAGGGAAAAACATATTACTGTAAACTGAATGGATATTCCAGAAGTATAATGACTCACCCATGCCCAACTATCAGGTTTGGCTTCCTCATAAAGTGGCTTCACAATGGCATAAAATCGAGCATTTGTGCTCAGGACAATCCCTGGATTTGGCCTCTCAAGGATAAGATATCCTCCAGTCATCAAAACCTTCCCCGGAGCAGAAGCAACTCTATTCCAGCACCAAAAACATTAAAAATTAACACTTCCATCTAGGCAGATGCTAAGAGTACTTTTACCATAATTATACAAATACACAAACAAATTCAATCGCTAACTTACACAGCCATCTTCTCAATGATCCCCTACGCTATGATTTTCCGTGCGATCCACAAGCTGCACTACAAATCTAGATGTGAATAATTTGCAGTTTTGTTAGGAAAAGAAAGAAAATGTAGAACCAGTAACTTTTCTTCTCAGAAAGGGAAGCAAACAGCAAATGATAGCTACTGATTATAAAGGATTGGGCAAAAAGTATGAATTCGTGCGCGGGAGATTGTACCTGCGATGAAGGTGCTGAAATTCTCGGACTGGAATGAGACTGTAAAATTCACGAAGCAGGCGCGATGAAGACGGAGACAGCTATGTTCGGCTTTTAACAGATTTCTTTTTTTGTTATTTTAATATTATTATATTATATTATGTTCAAAAATGTATCGCCGCCGCCGCCACTGCACGCCGCTCGCTGCTGACTCGTGACTCCTACACTAAAAAAATATTTCCTGTGTATTTCCAAAAAAATTATAAATAATTTAAGTATTCTAAATCGAGTATTCTATACTTTTTTTTTTTTTTTGCTTAATGAGTTTACTATTGTAAAATTATCAATTTAGTCCGACAATTTTTCTTTTTCAATTAAGTCTTCGATTTTAAAAATACCAACCATTTTGGCCCTCTATTTGTTTAAGCGTTAAAAATCTGTTTAAATGTAGGACATTGATGAAATTTTACCCGCTAACCTGCTCGTACCTCTCTGTCCTCTTTCTATTCACTTTCTCATCATCTAATGACAAGGACACATCCACCTCACCCTCACCCTCACCCTCACCACCATTGCCAATACTAACAGCATTATCATTACTATTATTAGCATTATCGGCTACACTTGGTGTATGGCTCTTGTAAGCATCATCAAAGGGGGTGGCAGAGTTTCTGAAAAATGTCGAGCCGGGGGTTCGAAATTTACCTACAATGTCATAATTGAGGACCTTGCCGTGGTGGCACTCAATAATTTTCAGTTGCGCACTGCGAATTTGAAGCGGGTCGCCCGTGCGGACGGTCTCGAGCCAGTCGAGTCGATCCCGTAGCTTAGGAATGTCAGGGAAGAAATCCCGCTCGATGATCTTCTCAATGGCGGTGACATAGGTATCTTCGTCGAGGACTCTGGTCTTGCGATTTCTCAGGGCTGAATCTGTAATCGAAGAAGAACTGCTGTCGTTTTTCTTGTGGATAGCGGAAGAATTAGGGTTAGGGCTGGGGACGGCGACCCGACGATAACAACATAGCTGTAAAACCTTGTCGGAGGTGACTGTTGAGCGTTGTCTCTGAGAATGAATTAGGATGCAGCGTCAATCTGTGGTAGAACCGTAGAAATAGGGTTAAATAATTAAATAAGATAGAAAATAGATATTATCAAATGAAATTTCATTAGTGCCCTACAAATTAATATAATTTTAACGCTGACCAAACTGAGGATCAAAATGGATAACTTTTTCAAAGTTGAGGACTTAATTAGAGAATAAAAATTATCGAAAACCAAATTGGTAATTTCATAATAATCGATGGACCATTTTGGTCATTTACTCCTATATTAAATAAATGCTCTATAAGCATATGAACCGTTAGAAATTAGAATACATGACTAACTTTGGACGTCATTCCCATTAGTTAGATAAAAAATAAAAATTTTTTTTAAAAAAAAAACGAACTCTTAATTGATTGACAAAGTTAAACTAAATACAAAATTAATAATAGTTATTGATTCATGCTCCTAAGTTTTTTCTATTTTGATTTTGAATTTGATAATTTTGGTTCTTAGTGATTCGTTTGTTTAGCTCACTGTGTTTTGATTTAAATATTTTGTATTTGAGTTAATCTTTATCTTTGGTATTTATTTTTAGTACTTTAAAAAAGTCATTGTTAATGCATTAAATATGAAACTTCAATATATATTCACATATGTATGTGTGTGTGTGTGTGTGTGTATATATATATATATATTATAAGATATTTATTTATTTGTATTTTAATTAATTAATTAATTATTTATTTATTTTGATTCTAAATTTTATCTACTACTAAACAAATGGACTTTTTTTTTCTGTTTTTGCTTAATCTAAACTCACTACCATTACTAAATATTTGATTGTCATTATTATTCTGATTTCAATATTTGAATCAAATATACCCTCGAATGTATTAAGGGATTAGATTATACAACATTTTACAATCAGATGCATCTTAGTTTAATTTGGAGAAAAAGTACCACATACTCTATCACTTCCTAAAGTTGAACAAATATAGCAATTAAATTTCAAATTTATCTATATAATATTATCGTTGATTAAAATTGTTAAAAGGGGGTTGTCACGATTTGGCAATTTTTAATTTTTAATTTTTAATTGTCCAGTCGATCATCTAAGAACAATCTCAATAGTTCAAAATATTGTAAGCTTTTGTCCTAACAAGTAAAAAATAGAAGAGTTGAGGAAAAAAAATAATGACAACAACAATATAAAAATAAAAATAAATAAGAAAATTTACGCGCCTAACACACACCTGCACCCTTATTTTAAACAATGAGCCTTGCTCAAAATTTGCAACTTGCAAGAGAAAAAATTATGTAAAAATCATATAATGCCGCATTTCATAGTACATGTGAAAGGCCAAACCTTAGAGCAACACCATAGAAAGAAAAAATATACTCATACAAATATAAGTTTTTTATGGGTTCCACTATCATAAATAAAAAAGATGAAATTTTCATTGCAAACGCATGTTGGGCATGTAAAAAGTCTTTTTCTTTTCGTTGGTTTTTTTTTTTTTTTTTTTTTTTTGGAAAAACTTACATACTCAATGTGTAATTTGAAAAAAATAATAAAATAATAAAATAATAAAGTAACATATACTCGTATAATTAAATTCTAAATTACTTGCAAGTAAAATCACTTAAAAGTGCAACAATTTTCACTTACTAATGCAAGTAATTTACATTTTTAACATTGGTGCATCTAATGATAATGTCTTTTACATTGGTGCACTTAATATTGATGTTCAGTGTACATTATTTGATGCACTTTCAATACATTCTACTTGTACTTTGGTGCACTATATGAAACTGTTACTTGCACTTCAAATTTCACGTTGACGACTGCGATTGCTTCTCAATTTTCTCCTAGGCAGATGGTTCTCACCTGATCCGTCTCCTATATATAATAGTTAAATAGTTAACTCATCTTAGCAGTTCGTCCTCTTAAGCAAACTAGTAGTATATTCCCTCTCATTTGTCAAGTGGATGCAACTTGGTCTTCGAATGGTGCATATTCCTCTTTCGGGGCAATCATATTGTCAAATGAAGGAAGTTTTGTTGTAGTTATTAATGGCAAACTTTATGGTGCAATTGATCCATACATAACAAACGTTTTAGCTTGTAGAGAAGCGTTCTCATGAATTAAGAGTCGTGCCCACACTACAATCCAACTGGTATATGATTAGACTAGAGCATTCTCGACTTTGTATACTAAAAGTACTGACCTCTTTTACATTAATTTTATTGTCAAATAATATTTTAACATTATAGATTATTTTGAGTCTTTTTTATTTTTACCATCATATTAAGAGATCAACGAACTTGATTATGAAATATTAATCTCATTTCTACTATTGGGATATCATCCCCGAATTGTATCCACGATTTACTTCTTGTTTCATTTTAATGATTTATAAAGTTTTTGGTTTAAGAAAAAAAAAGTTAAATAGTAGACGCGGTGCTATATCATAGACCGAGACCGACCCGATAACCCGACCAGAAAATGAGAAAAGCATTGCAGGCAGGTGCTGGCCTGGCAGGGAGTAAGTTGATAGAAACAGGTAGACAAATCTGAGCCGTCGAAGAGGGTCCACGACACACAATCAGCTAACAAGTCATCTGCCAATCCAACACCCACCTGGAGATCAAACTCTGCGCCCGTCTCCGGTTCTCCCTCTCTCCGCAATTCGCCGGAAACAGCCGCTCGCCGTCCCCACGCTCCTACCTCCAAATCCCTAACCCTCTCTCTCCTCTCATCGATTCCACAAATTTCTGCACACACGACAAACCTACACATACCCGACTTGTTGGTTTTCAGCTGGGACTCAGAACACGGAGTGAAGCTGAACCGCCTCCCGATTCACTCAATCTCTTCTTCCTTCGCGGTAATTGAAATTTCTCATAACTCACGCCTCTCAAATTTCAACTTTTTTTTTTCTCAATTTATTTTTGAATGAATTCTTAGGAGAGGAATTTTGTGCTTTTGTTATCTTTTTCATTGTCAGATTAGATTTAGTTTTATGTATATTAGTTGAAATTCTAGATGTAGGGAATTTGTTTAAAAATTATCAGAGTTAGGGAGCTTTTCTTGTTTGGAGTAAATATTACATTTGAGTAACTTTGTGAAGTTTCTATTTTTAGAATGGAATCAGGTCCTTAAGAAACGTATCTGTTTGTTTGATATTTTCTATCTGTTTCAGCTAAGTTGTCTTTATCTGTTCATATACGTTTTCAATATTCCTATGTGTGCATTCATAAGCATTCAGATGCTAGATTTTCTGGTATTATCTGTTGTGTGCAAAATTGAAATAATATATTTTTAAAGATTTTAATTCAAAGATCAAATATTTTACTTTTAATTACTACGGAATAATATACAACTGTACAAAATGATTTCTTTTATTTTATTTGCCTTTTTCATCCATGTATATAATTGACACGTAAATAGATATGGATGCAAATGCATAACATACAGTATAAATGCAACTTTCTGTTTATATTGATCTTTCTGATTTTGATAAGCACCAGCTCACCAATAATGAATGCTCAGCACTATAATGTCATTATCTTTGAAGTAAATATTGAAAGCTGCAAATCTGCGATGTTGATTACACATGAATTGAATGTTCATCACACTTGTGAGTAATGCTCATTTATCTCACATAGCTATGTGACTATGTGAGTGGTTTCTCAACTTCTGTATTCATTGGTTACTTGTACATTGGTGAACTCCACAAAGAGTTGATCAAATAAGGCTACATAAGCAAGTGTGAAGTTGTATACACAAATTTTTGTGCATCTACCCATATTCGAGTGATTTTTATGATGAATTTTATGTATATATGTATGACAGGATGGTCTGAGGAAACCTTTTAGTATAGCGGTGCAGTTGGACCATGGGTAGTAGTGAGAGGGATAAATCCCCGAAGGAAGCAAAGGAGCCAAAGACTCCTAGTTCACAGGTAAATGATACTTTTTCTTTTTGCATCCTTTATACACAACAAATGCTGGACATACTATCAACCAAGGACATCAATTTTTTTGAGATTCTGCAGGAACAGGCTACGACTACTGGCACGGTCAATCCAGAGTGGCCGGGGTTTCAGGTTGAGCTTCTCTTAAGCGTGCTATGTCAACATGCTGCTTCCTTTGTTGTTACTCCATATCTCATTACTGATAGTTATCATATTCGGGCTATCATTTATTTTTATTTTATTTTATTACGAGTACTGGGTTGTCACTTTGCAGGCATTCTCTCCTGTGCCACCACATGGGTTCTTGGCATCAAGTCCTCAAGCACACCCTTATATGTGGGGAGTTCAGGTTTCAAAATTGTTTTATTTCAATTTGTCATTTGGTGTACTGCAGCTGTTATGATATTTTTACCAGGAAAATTTTGAAACAAATCCTTATTGTGTATTTACCAAATACTAACTGATTGAAGCATGCACTTTGCAAATTATTCTTATCCAGCTTCTTTAGTGACCTAAGGGTAAATCATACAAGTAAACACTGGAGATGATCGATCCATTTTTAAGATTTTGTCTATATTAATCAGTTTAGATTTTAGAAATCTAAAAAACTGTTGATGTTAGTTCTCCTAGATCAGAAGTTCCTAAACCTTGTGAAAGGCAATGCTTAGACTGTACTCTAAATTAATTATTTGGTTCATATTTGAAGAGAAGTGGAGTTGTTAAAAGCTTTGTTGCTTGGAGCATAGCCTATGTAAAAGGAGTTGGGTCTTGGCCCAACCTCTAATAGGAAATCTAACTGAAGGCATAGGTTTTGTATATTCACATCTCTTGCTTTGTTCATCAAAATGATTTATTCTGGAGTAGTAATTTCCTTTTTTTTTTTTCCTTTCTTTTAGTTTATTTTTTTCATCTATTGCATAAGGGGTGAGGTAGGACTACTAATGTAAAATTGCCTATTATTCTCATATTTATAATGATAGAAAAATGTTTATGATGTTATATTTCTAATGTTATTTCACTTTCTATTAGTTAGTTCTTTTCTTCATCATACTCTTTTAACCTATGAGATTCTTAACTATAATAAACCAAACCAAAAGTCCATTCCTTCTATGAGGTGACTATTAATCTCAAATTTATTATATAAAAATCCCTTTTGGTTTGTTATGCAGCATCTCATGCCGCCATATGGTACTCCACCACATCCTTATGTTGCAATGTATCCACATGGTAGTATTTATGCTCATCCATCTATGCCACCGGTATTTGCTCCTTTTCTTTTTATTTAATGCCTTTTCAGCTTACACTTCTTACCTACTTCTACATCATACTAACTTTTTAGGCATTTACTAACTTATCAGGGAGCTTACCCATTTAGTCCATTTCCAGTGCCTTCTCCAAATGGTATTGCAGAGGCTTCAGTGAGTGTTAAAACTTTGCATTTAGACAACCACTGTTGTTTATAATACTATATGTGTTTTACTTATACTTTTTTATATGCATTTTAGGTTAATACTTCGGGCAATGTAGAAGTGAATAGTAAGGCATCTGAGGGGAAGGAGAAGTTACCCATTAAAAGATCTAAGGGAAGCTTGGGCAGTTTGAATATGGTTACAGGGAAAAATAATGAACCTGGAAAAGCATCTGCAAATGGAGTATATTCTAAAAGGTAGGATGATATATTAATTGGAAAACTTAACATAATAAATAAATTAAAGTGCATTTGACTATAGATGTGAGGTGATTAATCATGCTCCAGAAATGTTATTGAACCATACAAGCAATCAAGCTCCATATCCCATTTTTCCTCTTACATGCAAGTATGGATGGTTTTGTGCTTGAAGATTGTCCAGCACTAGAGGTGTATTCTATTAGGTGAAAGTATTGTCTTTTAACTTTATGTGCATATTAGTACACTGTACATATTTCTGTTTATTGATATTTTATTCCATTTTTTAAGGTTCTTCACTGCTTTATTTTTTTTAATGTTTAGTTGGGACACATCAACTTGTCTGTGTGTAAAATGTTAGCCCAGTTGATAGGTCACCTTTACATAAGGACATTGAATAAACCACCTTTGGATGCAATGCCCTATGGAAATGAGAATACACTTCTGCTTGTTTGACATTTTTTAATGTTTAAACTGTCTGTAACCCTACAATTTGTTAATATCAAACCTTTGTCAACATCAATAATATTGTTTTTCAGTGCTGAGAGTGCAAGTGAAGGTTCAAGTGGGGGAAGTGATGCAAACTCTCAAAATGTAGGTATTTTATATCTTAGTTATTAGTAATTTTTTAAGATAATTTTGATGGCAATGTATACTTCTTTTTTAATTTTTTTTTTTAATTTTTTTTTTAATTTTTTTTTTTTTTATGGAAAACATTATATTTTTTATGTTGTACTTTATTTTCCTCTTGATGCATGAAACTGTATTTGGTTTCCTGTCTCTCTAGTCTCTAATACATATAAGTGATATTAGTCTTCTGCCCGCTGCATCTGATCTTGTTCTTATTTCTGTAGGAATCACAAACAAAGTCAGGAGGTAGGCAAGGTTCAAATCCTTTGGAAATGCAGTGAATAGTTTGCAGTGCATTTGATTAATAAAAAAACAATTGTGATGCCTTTTACTACAGGTGAAGCACCTCAGAATGGTAATGCTGCACATGGTTCTCAGAATGGAGAGAGTAATGCTCATGCAATGATGAACCACACTATGGCAGTTTTGCCAATAACAGCAGGTGGGACTGCATCAGGTGTTCCTGGCCCCACTACAAACTTGAATATTGGAATGGACTACTGGGGCTCTGCTGCTTCATCTGCTATTCATGGTATCCAAGGGAAAGTACCTTCTGCCCCAGTTGCCGGTGGAATGGTTGCTGCTGGATCACGGGAGGGTGTTCAACCACAACTTTGGGTTCAGGTTGTCTTCTTGTCCTTCAACTGTCGATTCCTTTCTAGCCTTTATGATTTATGAATGTATTGTTTTTGTTTCCTTGTTTATTGCTCCATTCTTTTCTTTCGGAAGAGGGATCAGGTTAGGGACAACTGGATCAATTTTGTGAGATTGTCCTTAGGGGGATCTGAATATGTATACTCAACTGTAAAATAAAGCTCCGATCAACTAGATATTAATATAGAGATTATTGTGATGTTTACACATTACTCACAGAGTCATAGCAGATAGACTCTTACATACAGTATATAATGGCTATAGAAACTCTGTAAGAACAGAACATTCACACCAAAGTAGAAAAATCGACATTGATGACGTCGAGAATATTATTTGTTGTGATCGTAACCAACATGTGGATGCAGACATGATTCTTACAATACCCAGTATTTGCTTGAGAGATTGATCAACTATGCTCTAGTTATATTAGTAAATGGAAATGATATTGTGCTAGACATCAATCTCAAGGCACTTCATCTTGTCGTGTCCTCCATAACCTAACCATCTCTTTCCTGATATTCAGAATGAGAAGGAGCTCAAGAGGCAGAGAAGAAAGCAGTCCAACCGGGAATCTGCCCGCCGTTCCAGGTTGCGCAAACAGGTAAAATTAATCCCTTTAATCATTTGCTTTTGTGGGTCGGGATTAGTCCCTTATACTGTTTTCTTGTTTCGGGACAGGCAGAATGCGATGAACTGGCACAACGAGCTGAAGCTTTAAAGGAAGAAAATGCATCTCTTAGATCAGAAATAAATCGCATCAAGAGTGACTATGAGCAGCTTGTTGCTCAAAATGCATCTCTGAAGGTATTTTAATACTAGCTACCTCATTAATTTTCATGGTGTTCCCAAAGAAACTATATTCTGGATAAGAAATGTATGCAATCTATGGCAGGAAAAACTCGGTGAAGCTCCTGGGAAAGACGACCCCAGGCCGAGCAGGAATGAACATCTGGGCACGCAGTCATCAGAAGCAGAGCCCTTGCAGGGTGGTCAATGATGTTCCGACTGCCTTATTGCAGATCGATGATTCGACCGTTTGGGTTAACTTAATGACTTGGTAACAGAAAGTAATTAATTTAATTTGCAGATGATATTAGTTTAAATTTTGCAACAGCGAGGTTTCTAGTTTTCTAGTGTAGGGTTCTGTTTGTCAAATATTGTCCATTGTTTCTCAAATGTTTTATGGTTTGAGGAACTCGGATGGATGATATGTAGAGGTCTTAAATCTTAATTATGCTGCAACCTTGTGTGTTATATAAGGGCGGTATCTCTGTTAATCTCATGCTTATGCTTTGTACCTATGCACTAATATGGTTTTCCTGGGGACAACAAATTAAAGTTGTACACATTTTAATTTTAATTTCAATTTCATTCTTAGTGTATCTATCTTGCACTCAATTGATCAACATTTTCTCACATAGACAATTTATTAAAGATTAACATTTAGTCGTTTTAACTTTGACAATATAGGGTAAGTATCACTCGCAATATTTTGGCCCTTTTGTTAATAGTTTGAAGAGCCTCTATTAAGGCTGCGAAAGTATGTGCGTCGATTTTAACATGCAACACACATACATGCTACCCTATAATGAAGTTTTTGGTGTCTTTCGCTGTCCGTTTAACGGTTCAGATCCACCTGACTAATTTTCGTTTGTTTCGGGAGACACGAAGACACGGGAGTTGGCCCAAGGGAATTTTCACTTGTGGAAATCAAATTCGAATTATTTTGAAATTCTCCCTCACAAAGAGAACTCATTTGTCACTTGAACTACCCCGTTGGACTCTAAACTCTTATTACCGTTTTTACCTTGAGAACGAAACAATGTAAACATTGTGATGCTATGTTATCCTTTTGATATCAGTTTTGCACTAGAACGGTACTGTGTAACGAATTCGATCAGGAAAGTGTTGATAATAATTAAACTTCTGACCTTTAAATATAAAAAATATATAAATATACTCCATCCACTAATTTAAGATAACTAATGAATATAAAGAGTTATATTGGCAAGTAAAAAAGTTTCAATTTGTTTTATTATAAAAAGAAATAAAAAAAATTCCCCTAAGTTTATTATTTTTTTATTGTACTTTTTTTTTGGTGTAATTTTTTTTATTGTACTTATTTTATTCAGAATTCAGATTAGATATTTAGGGTGGTGGCCACGTAACATCTTTCTCTCACGAGAATAACGGAAACAAGACCAGCACCACCACCACGAAGAAGATTATCAGTCGTCCGCCCTGTCGTAACCACTTACGCGATGCAAATTTCCGGCATATTGGCTGATGCGCCGCCGGTGGTTCTTCCGTCAACGGCAACCACAGCTGCCGGCGGTTGCAAGCTCCCCTACGAATTCAATCATTTCCGCTCATTCTCAGACTCCACCAAGTCTCTCTTCTCCCCTGCTTTCCCCACTGTGAGCTTCTTTTTACCTTTCTTCTACTGCATTAGAAATAGTATTTTATCTTAATCATTCAGTAATTTTGGCTATATTTTTTTATTGTGTAAATTATTTCCTGATATTGTGTGTTATAAATAATTTTACAAGAAAAAGGGAGAGGATTCAGAGGAGGGAAACCGGAAATGTTTAGAGTATCTGATGCACATTAATGTTCCTTAAAATAAAATTTAATATAATTTAATTGTATGAATATACTGGACTGTTAAATTTCCTTGAATTTGGAATGGTAAGTAGAAAAAGAATTAGAGCTAGGTATATTGATATCTAATTATAGTATTATACACTTGACTCTGGAAAACACAGCTTTTATTAGGAAGATGAATATTCAGTAATTAATTGTAGGCAGAAATATAACATTTTCAATTCAAGTTTTTTCTCCTATTATTTTGGGGGTAAAATTCCATTTTATTCTGCAGGGATATCTATCATTTTCTGTTCGAAAGCTAAAAAATGGACAAGATAGGTCTCAAACCCGAAGATTAAAAGTAAGAGCATCAGGAAATTCGGGTGGTGATTCAGTCCCATTTGCTCCTCTTCAGTTGGAGTCTCCCATTGGTCAGTTTTTGGAACAAACATTGCAAACCAATCCTCATCTGCTCCTGGCGGCTATTGATCAGCAGCTTGAGAATCTTCAGAATGAAAAGGATGAACAGAAAAAAGAAAAACTACCTCCATCTCAAGATTTGCTCTATAAGTAAGAAGCTTTATCTATCTTACAAGTATTTGGGTTCACAATTCCTAGCTATATAGTATCCTTTGATGACAATAGGTCAATAGTTAAAGATACATCATTATCTCCTTCGCTCACCATTGATTAAACATAATCTACTATTTCTTGTGCAATTATTATATGGGATATGGGATATTTCCATGTGCATGAATCTATATTTAGGCATGCCATTTTAGAATAAATAAATAAAATTGTGAGATAAACCTGAAAAGGAGTGCATTCTGCAAAATTATAATCATTGAATCATTATGGAAAATAATATTAAAACATTAATTAAATTGTCAATCTCTCAAACGATTGCCTTTATTGTGCTCCTTGTGTGAATGCAAGTTTTTGTGACATTACTGTTCTATCTCTGTCACAAGAAAAACAGTGTTTGATGAAAATCCTTATTTCCCAAAATCTCTTGAGTAAAACATACGTGGCTAAAAAAAGTTTTAATTAAAAAGGAAATGAGAGAGAGAGAGAGAGAGAACAAGAGGTAGTAATTTTGAAACAAAAAACTTGAATGCAATGAAAACAGAAAAGAAAAAAAAATGTGGGAGGCTGGAAGGAGAGGGTAAGTGGGTGATGAGGGTGTTATCTGGCAATTTGGAGAGCAAACCATATATGTTTGAAGGGTTTGATCTATAAGTTTTAGGGGCCCATTAATCCATTATTAATATTACTGTCCCATGCCATAAATTTTACACTCAAATATTGTAATACAAGTATGAGATAAGATCAATTTGTAGGTATTAAACTTCTTGGATGCACCAGCTTGAGACACCCCTATTTTACTGACCAATACAAATTTGCTGAATTTCAGGAGAATAGCTGAAGTGAGAGAGAAAGAAAGGCGAAAAGCACTAGTGGAGATTTTATACTCAATAGTTGTACATAAGTTCATAGACAAAGATATATCAATGATTCCAAAGATATCAGCAACCTCAGATCCCACTGGAAGAGTGGATTTTTGGCCTAATCAAGAGCAGAAGCTTGAATCTGTGCACTCTCCTGAGGCTTTTGAAATGATAGTTAGCCACCTTTCTCTGGTTCTAGGTGAACGTGATGTAGGGCCTTTTGACAACATTGTTCAAATCAGTAAAATCAAACTCGGGAAACTTTATGCTGCCTCTATAATGTATGGATACTTCCTCAAAAGGGTTGATCAGCGTTATCAACTTGAAAGATCTATGAATACCCTTCCTGAAGGTTTCTTGGGCAAACCACGACCTGAACAGCCTGCTGGAAATCAACTCTGGGATCCAGATTCATTAATAGTGATTGAACCTGAGGATGTCGATACAGAAGGTTTAATGGGCTCAGTCACTGATGGTAGTAAATCATATAGGTTGAGATCCTATGTAATGTATTTGGATGCAGAGACCCTTCAGAGATATGCTACCTTAAGATCTAAAGAAGCACTTTCTGTGATAGAAAAGCAGACACAAGCATTATTTGGAAGGCCTGACATCAAGGTTTCAGAAGATGGTACCCTCGATGTGTCTAATGACGAAGTGGTTTCCCTATCATATTCTGGGTTGACCATGCTGGTTCTGGAGGCAGTAGCTTTAGGATCATTTTTATGGGAAGCAGAAAGCTATGTTGAATCAAAATACCATTTCTTGAATAGTTAAAATTTGTTTTCTTTTGTCTACCATTCCTTTTTCCTGCAGGATACTATTTCTTAAATAGTCTTTCTCCACTCTGTAAATTGCATACTCATAAAAAACTTATGAGGTGAGCATTTTCTAGTTTATGAACACTGAGCTCATGTAAAATATCTGGATTTTATACAGAGCTTCAGGATACGCTTATTACTCATATCAAGAATCTTGAATTTTTAACTAATGTGTTTCTCAATGCTTCGAGCTTGAATTGTTGACAGGTACATGGATTTTGAATTTTTTGATTACTGTCATTGCCCAAAAACTGTGTGGTAGCAGTTAGATCAACATTGTTGGTTTAACAACTCTGTAGTGTGACTACCTCTTTGCCTTTAGAAGTGGAATTGAAAGAATTCACTCTGTTTGATCTTTGAATTCATTGATATAGATGAAAGGTTGAATCCATAGACACAAAATCATAGATTTATTCTAGCACACAACCTCAAAATGTGGAGAGTAGCAGAAGAAGATCAATGAAAGAATCATCTTACTTTCAGCTTCTTTGTGTCTGATTACAGAGAATGTATATATGTTTTGCCTTTCTATATGAATACTGATAACAAATCCAGGTGACAGAGGTTGCTGGAAAACAATAAATAGACGGAAAAATCAAGGGAGCTGGAATGAACCTCCAATTTGATCACTTCGTGCTGGGGGCTGGATTGTGACACAGGAGGGAGATGATAATGGCCATGAGTCCAGACCAAACGAATACTATAGTTGGAGTCTTACCTCGTCTACCCATCAGTCCTTTGGCAAAAGGGTAGAGATGAGCTAACACCCAAAAGCTGAAGAACAATCCGCCTATCAAATGGCTCCACTGCGGTTCAGGGCTGTATATTGTCCGGCTAACCCCAATTGATACTGCAATCAAGTTTGTCATGATGATCGTGGTGGGTGGAATCATCAGTGAACTCCATTTGAGGATATACAGGTTAGCAAATTCGTCGTCATTATCATCACCAGCAGACTTTGAGGTCAGTGTAAATGAGATCTCTATCCCTGCAATCACTTTCAGTAGTCCCTGAAGTAAAGCAGCAAAATGGGCACTTGTGCCCCCAATCAACCAGAACGGCTCATTCCACCACCATTCCTCCAGATTGATGCTAGACCACTTGATCTCAAGCACCGTCAGCATGCAGAGAGTGAGCGTGATGGCTAGGAGGTAAGTGAGGAAAGTAACGTCGAGGGTTTGGATGATGAACCCGCCTGAGAACAATGAGAGTGCTGGGAGAAAACAGTAAACAATGAGGAATATGGATGTGAAAGGGTAGATGCCAACGTTGAGGTAGGCGATTCGCTGCAGGAAATTCATCTTGGAACTAGCCAGGAAAGCATTGTTACGAGAGAAGAAGATCTCAACAGAACCGGTTGCCCATCTGAGGACTTGGTGAAGCCTGTCTGTCAAATTGATTGGTGCTGTGCCACGAAAAGCGTCTCTCTTTGTCACACAGTATATGGATTTCCAATCTCTTTGTCACACAGTATATGTATAACTTCATCACCATCTACCTCTCTCTGAAGCTTCAAAGCCTTAATTTCCTCCCAGGCATTATAGGCATCAGAACGCCTGCGTATAGAGTCAGGAAGGCTATTGATTCTGACCTTGAACTCATCATATTCACGCTTTACCCGTCTTCTGTCCTTGACAAAATCCTGGCGTACCTTGTTCTTGTAAGGATCTTTCTTCAAGCTAAAGTAAGATTCTGGATTTCTAGGCTCAATATCATGTTTCCGACAGAATGGCACCCATATGTTGGCAAAACTTGCAGCTTCTGCCATGGCTTCAAAGGTCAGAAGAGCTCCTCCATCGTCTGAAACATAGCACGAAAGCTTCTCAACCGGATAGTCATCTCCAAGAATGGACAAAATGGTGTTTGCAGTAACAAGTGGTGGCTCTTTTTCTGGATCTGCAGTAGAAACAAAGATATCTATAGCTGGAAGATCAGATTTCCCTGAGGGGTTGGCAGGAGTAAGTGCTTCAAACTTTTCTTTCAGAACAGTAAGATCAGTGGCGCGATTGACTGGGCAGAACTTTGGAAGTTGATCAAGCAGCCATGTGAATGAAAACCAAATCTCACAAACAATGGACATAAACCAAAGCCAAATTGCATCATTATTGGGGTGACTCAGTCTCCATTCAAGAAGTAGTCCAAGTATAGCAATGCGAACGAAAATCAGGAGGCTGTTGCATACAGGTGTGTCATAAATCAGAACTGGGCAAGAACGAGAAGATGACAGGAGAACAGCACAAAGCATGGCCACAAGGACTTACCGGTATGGATTGATAACTATGGCAGGTATCTTCAATTTGTGTGTAAGTAGCCTCCATTCCTTGTTAAGAAGTTCAGAATACTCACCATCATCTTTATCATCTCCTAATCCTTCTTCCTTTGGCTGTACAGCATCACCATAACCATAACTCCCCTTTGCCTCAAACAACCATCTGTTATTATCAAAGTCCCCTGTATGATTCCTCATCAAACCTCGGCTTAGCTTCATCAACGACAACCTTCTCTCCATCCTAGACTGCCCACCATTGGATGCTAAAGATAAAGGCTGTCTGTCCTGGTCTACAACAGTGTTCTTGTAGTGCTCTTTACAACCGGGACAAATCCCATCACCAGTTTTCACAGCTTCCGCGTAGCAATCCTGGCAGATCTTAAGATCACATCTGCAGGGAAGAATATCTTCGCCCCTCTCATCGGACATGACCTTTCCACCACATCCTGGTATTGCACAATAGGACCCTTTGGCACCAGCCATCTGAGGATGGTTGACTTCCAAGTCTATCACCTTATCCATCAAATGAGCAAGAGTTGCACTGTTGTACCCTCCTGTAAACAGTGAACTAGACACATTCTGCTCTTCAACCCTCTGTGAAACAGAAGGATCCATCAGCTGGTTATCAAGAGACTCCAAGTAAGTTCACTATAACCAAGAATCCATGCAGTTCAAATAGGCATATCCACAGCCTTTCTGGGATACAAATCATATATCTCCATATATAGCTGAACCATCAGTATTGAATGATATGCATAAATAGTGCAATAGTAGGGTAGAGTAGATATGTCACACCTCTGCTTCCTAGTTCCTACATTTTGAATAACCCTAGTAAGTTGTTGAGGCTGTTGACCGGTAACCATAAGGTTAGAAGTTCTATTTCCAGTGAGTCAACATGGGTAACCTAGACTAGTTTATTTCCATGTAGTGCATAAGACGAAGTTTACCCAGTGCACATCCTCAGGTAATGACTGCGAGTTTACGTACAGATCGACAAGACCAAGTCTAAATTTCATTTTCTATTGCATTACAAAATACAAACCAAAACGGCCACTATTTTATTTTGTTTCTATATGCTCCATATCCTCTTCTAACGGTCTTTCCAATTCTTGAAGATTTAACCTCTCTAATGAAAACTCCAGCTTGTGGAAACTGACATAATCCTTAAACAAAGCTTCCACCTTTCCAATGCAGCTAGCAGCCGTCCATGGCTGAGCTTGGTGACTGGTTCTTATAGAAAACTACATATCAGAGCATCACCAATAGTTGTAGCTTTTGAGAAGTTTTTGACTAGAAAAGAGAAGCTTGGAGGAGAGGAAAAAGAAAAAGAAAAAATTAAACATTTATGCGCCCACATGAGGAGTTGAGTTCTTTGTCTTCTTTTATGGTGGGACTCACAGAGCTGACAAAAATCTTGGTCCTTCAACAAAGACTAAGGTTCCTCTCTCTTCCACTTCAGCATAGCCTCCTCGAAAATCACTGATGGGGATGCCTCACTTATCAGTGTGAAAAATAAATAATATTCCCCATTAGACGGTGATTCAGCAACCCATGAGGCTTACAAAATTTGTCATTGCTAAGATATGAAACGTAGTATTTCAAGGATATAAATAGCCTTACAATTCAAAGGAACAGAGAATTTTGAGATCAGATTACACTAATGGTGTTTTTAACAATTGAAGCTTAGCAAGAGAAGGTGATCAAACTAGAGTAGATGAAGGAGAAACAGGACTGAATTGTATACCTTAATCTAAAGCCATTGATCCAATGAAAAGAAGATTAGAAATAAACAAATAAATAAATAAATTCATATCTAACACTACACAGATTGAAGAAGGGTCATGGGAAATCTGTATAACTTTCTTCTGTGTATACCTCCCACCATATCTATCACCAGCATGCACAATTTGTGAAACAACAACAACATGAGCATTTTGGGCACCAACACCAACACTTTACGCACCCCGGTTTGAAGCACACGCATTTCGGGCATTTTGGCCGCCATTCCGGGCATTTCGGCCAGCAGCAGCATTTCGGGCACGTAGGTTTTGAGCACTCGAAGCATCTCGGCTTTTGGCATTTCATTTCACAGCAGCGAGTGGTGGAGCTCGGACTAGTGTTGGACCGCTTTGGTAGACGGAGGGTTTGGCGGATCTTTTTTAGTCGAGTTTGGGTGGTCATGTTCTCCATTTCTTGAATGAACCTGCGCAGGTGGCGAATGTAATCGGGATAAAGCTCTAAGTTGCAGTGCCCGCCGCCTTTTATCCATAGGGGCTCGTATGGATCCCTCGCCATTTTCCATAGTCTATCACCGTGTAACCAATTCACAACATCGTCTTCTGTGCCCTGCCAAACGCATCATCAGTAAATATCAAAACAACAATGCACCCAATCGCAACTGCAGAAAACAAACTTATAAGGCTCTCAGAAATCTACCAACAAATACAAAACTTTATGGACTATCCTCGATGTTGAGCATATAACCATTAATGTGCAATCCAACTATCAGCTTAGGCTTTTAGTTGAGATGGAGCACATGCTTCAATTTTGTATCAGAGCCAGACCAAAGGTCGAATCTGTGTTGCAATCCAACTACTATCAGCTTAGGCTTTTTTTAGACCCGATTATTTGGGTTCTAAGTCTTAGAGCCAATTGTTATTATGCCAAATGTCTCATAGAACCTATACGAGCTCTCAATGTACATAGAACAGCAATACATGCTTGTACATCCTCGTTCCCTTTCTTAGACGAGTAAACCTTATTGTCGATTGTTGAAAATTTATAGTCTAGCCTTTTTAAATAGGTTATATTCTCATTTCAACTACGCATTTCATTAGAACATTTCAAGCTCAAATTAGGGCAGTTGAGAAGAACTTACATGTATCACAAGCACCGGAGATTTTACCTTATGCATCTTGTTTATATTCTGCACATTCAAATGAACGTTAATTGGAGTAAGGCAAACGCCACAGCAAGAATAACGCAAATCAACACAACGCTTATTCAAAAAATGAAAACCAGAAAAGATGAAAATATGAACTTGCAACCACTTTCATCGCAAAGAACCAAACAGTTAGCAGGATTGAGACAACTATAGCTTAGTAAAAACAAAAAACAAAAAAACAATAACACATGCTAATCTCATTCCGATGGGGCTAATCACCTTGTAAATGTCGAAACAAAACGAGAACTTCACATGACAAAGCACGCGGAGGCCAGAAAGAATGCCACTATGTAGAACTACGCCTCTCAGCCTCGGCAATCGTGCTGCCAAGTGCAAAGTCGGGCCACTGCCAACGGACTGTCCATAAAGAATTACGTCTTCCTGACTAACTCCATATTCGGTTTCAAGGCACTCATACGCTGCCTCTATATCAGCATACGTATCAAATTCACTCGGCTAAACAATATTTAAAAAAAAAAAAGTGAAATAAGAACACTTCAAAGTTCAAACCAATAATGACAATATGAATTTTCTACACAATCACTCAACCTTCATCATGACAGAAAGGAAAACAACGTACCTTCCCCGTAGAGGCTCCATAGCCAGAATAGTCATATCTGCACATAATCGAGATAAAAAGAAAAATAATAATAAACGTCACATCTAAACTGCAAGCAACTATGCAGAACTAGAACTAGACAACATACAAAGTAGAAAACTACAAAAACCGCAATCAAAATCAATCAGTCTCTTATTTTCTCGTGGGGGTGGCCATAGCTGATTCTCATTACAATTATCGCAATCTGAATAATTGATGAGAGAAGAAACAAAGTTCGCCCAACGGGGAAATGCCATATCCATTGTACAAATAGCGAAGAAAAGACAAAGCCCAAAGCAAGAACAGCGAGTACAATTAAGGCTCAACAGCCATTATCACTAGCACTAAAGAGAGCAAAATGAGAAATATCTCTATCTAAAACTCTATCTAAAAGTCAGTTTACCATACCAAGACTCCAAGGCAAAGTAAAAAAAAAAAAAAAAAAAAAAAAAAAAAACAGTAAAAAGTGGAAAGGGACTTGTGAGTTGTGACAACAATAAAATCTCTCAACCCAAGCTCTCCTTTTACTTTTAACATTTTTAACTTTTACTTAGCAGGAAAAAGAAAAGGTGAACTGAACACCCACATTATCAAACCCCCATAGATTTTCAGCTCAAAGAGCAGCACTACAATAAGCAGCAGCCGAAAACATCGTACGAACCTAGAATGGAACAACATTAGTTTATTCAAAACATACATAGAAACATATTTATTTAAGAAAAAAAAAAAAAAAAAAAAAAAAGTGACCCCCCTCTCCCCCACCTATCCCTACCAAGGAAAAAGACTCTCTTTTTACTTTTAAGAAACGAAATGGGCATCCAAAGAAAGACAAGAAAAGCCACCCTTTTTCCAGATTAATGATGAAACAAATGAAGAGGGTATGGGTAGAACAGTGGCGCTAAAGATCAGATTTTTATTTTTAAAATTAAAAATTTTGAGACCGGAGATCCACCATATCCAAGTAAGTTCTTTCCAAATCAAAGCCCAGAAATTATAACTGGGAAATCTGTAAATATTCACATTAAGAGGTGCAATGAGCTCTTTAAATAAAATGCAGAGATTTTAACCTCAAAAAAAGGAAAGAAAATTTGGAAAAAAAAAAAGGAAATAGCAGAGCAGAGCAGACCCCATGATGTTGACTCGGAGATTAGCTTTAAGCTGAAGAAACAAGTCATAAAGCTGGCCCAGATCAGCGGCATTGCCATGAGAATACAGCAAAGTAAGCCTAGCATAAGGGTTCTTGAGGAAAAAAGCTACGATCTTGTTGCCCCTCTTAGTCTCCACCACTCGCACATCCAGAGAAGGGTCATCGGCGGCGCCGGAAATGGGCGCCGCCGAGGTGGCGGACACGGCCACCAGGCGCCCGTCGTCGCGCGCCTTCACCTGGTACGTCGCCGGCGCCGGCGGAAAGAAGGCCAACTTCGCCGCCAGCTGAGAAATCAAACACCCCATTCTCAGAAATATGGAAGAAGCTCCTCAACACTACCCAACTCATCAATGCATGTGGGTGCGAAGATGATTTATGGGGTTCTCCAGAATTGATTGAGCGGAGTTTATGTGGTTGGGTGAAGATGGTGAAGGGGTTTTACAGAGTTCTAGAGAGAGAGAGAGAGAAAAATATGAGCTTTCCAAGAGAGAGGCTTTTAGGACTGTGTTTGGCTAAATCTGTGAAACGAGATCATATTGTTGTTGGTACTATATTACTACAATGTTTTTTCAAATTTCACTTACATAGAGAATGAATCTGTGTTTTCCTGTGTTTATGGGAGAGAGAGAAAGAGAGAGAGAGAGAGAGAGATTCTGTGTATGTACTGTTGAGTTCTTGAGGTGGCAAACTGCAAGACTTGTGTGTAGAGAGACCATTTTCTGTATGTCATTTTCTCTACTTTTTTTCTTCTTTCTGATTTTGTTTTTATTCACTATTATATTATATTATAATTTAATAACAACTTCAACCAAGTTAATCAGATATGACCACTTATATTGATCAAATTTCAAATCTTGATCTCTTTAGCCTGATAAAGCATGTGGAGAAGGTAAATCACGGTTCCGTTGTCACAAAGTATGTGAAAAAAAGGTGAAGCATGTGGAAAGAGATAAATCACGTTAATTCAGTGACTCAAACAGACATGACCAAACCATGTGACAATAGGTAAATCATGATAATTTAGTGACTCAATATACAAGGCCAAATGCTGGTGCGCACAAGGAATCTGTCCACTTCAACCATAATTTCCACACTAAAGCTGCTACATTTTGAACAGTGATTTTTTTTTTTCAAAATACTATCTACTAAATCACCGAGGTAAGTTTTTGTGGATAATTCATATTTTTTTGGTTAGTGTGAATGTGGGTTTTTCTGGTTACTCAAAAAAAATGTATTCTTTTTTATAATTTAATAAATGTATTCTTAAATGTAAATTTGGTACCACTTTTATGTTGTAACGGTGTTGTCTGGTTAGGAGTTAGAGACATCCATATTCTTGCTTAGCATTTGTCTGACATTAAATATACTTAAATATTGATCATTACAGCTGGTAGTAAGAGTAAATACAAGATTTGATATAAAGAACGATTTTAATAAACTAAAACAATGAAAATAAAGTTACTAACATTTGGATGCATGATTTATGTTATAATGTGGGGTTATGTTAATGTTAGTAGAGTACTCCGTATTATTTATACACACAAGTTTATGTATACATTTGCATAGATAGAGGTCAAATATGTTTCTCTATTTGTATTTAAAAAATTACAATTTAACAATAGAAAAATGTGTAATTAAATTATTTTAGGATATCTCTAATACTTCAACCCTTTTTCTTTATATATAAGGATTTTGTTTTCACGTCATTAATATAATACTGATTTATCTTTACATCGTCCATTATATATATATAACAAAAAACACATAATAGGTACGACTTTGTGATAGCCAGTAGTCTATTGGTTGGTATGTGTCGTGTACATATTGTCAAAGATGTTGTGTAGTAACTGCTTGTTCCGCATCATTTCCCTTTTCTTCAAAATCACGTTTTCTTCTTTTGATGGATAAGCATGCTCCTCCTAAAAATCTTTAAGTTAGAGATGTCCTTAGTACAAAACTTGTGTAATATGATCAATACAATTAACATGTTTCAAACAATTACGTAACTTTATTTATTTGTCGCATTGTTATAGAACCTTCAAATTAAATTTTCTTTGTCATCCTTCATTATCTTCTTCATACCTCAAACTCTCAAAGGACAACCATGGCAAGAACATGAAAATAATATTTTGAGTGTGTTTACTGACTTGAGAATCTTTGCATTTTTATGACTAGAAGAAAAGTTATTGAAAGAAAAATATAAAATACATTTGTTTTTTTTTTTTAATTTGAAATTAGTGAATACAAATTGAAACTTAGAAAAATTGAATGAACACGTCTGAAACGTTCTTCTCATTAGGCCCAATGATTTTCTCAATAAATTCGGACCATGTGGCGTATACACACATATATATGGGTAGGACCAAATAAGAACATGATCCGTCCTTAAAAAATAAAGACCGATCACAGTCGTTCATCATGGATCATCAATGACTAAGGTTTTACTATTAAAAAAAATACGTGATCAATTGTATAATTATTGCAAACTTTTAAATTTTCGATATTCATAAAACGAATCTCATATTTTTAACCCCTTGTTTCCAACAACCTCAGCTATTGATTTACCCGGCCAAATTGATAAATTATATAAATATAAATCACTTTTTATGTGGGAGCATATATGCTCTCACATAAATCATATGAATAATCTATAAAAAGGCTAATATGACCATGCTATAATGCCTACAATGAGTAATATTAGTATTTGTAAAGAGATTGGACAAATCTTTGGTAGAAATTTTGGCTCATTGGTGAGTAGTATAGTTTGGTCCTTTTGCACTTATGGTTCCTGAATCTCATGTGAAAAGTGTCGTCTTCTTATCATATTCATCCACAAATGCCATCATATTCAAACCATAGACAAACACCTTCAATAATTCTATGTGTTGGGAATTTGTTTTGTATTTAATTATATCATTTTTTGTATATAAATACCATTAACAAAATACGTAATGCAATTACACCAATTATACGTAATCTACTTTTACTTGCTAATCAAATTTGATTTCAAGTATTAATACTTACCATATATATATGTATCTATTATTGACGAGTTCAGTAAATCGAAGTATTATGATTTTGTATGTAAAAAATGTCATAATAGAATTATATTAATGAAATTTAAAAAAAAAAAAAAAAAAAACACTGATCTAATGAATTTTCGAGGATTAGCACATCTAATATTGTTGGAAGGGATTGATTGGATTAGACCAATTATCAAAATGTACAAATGTCATGAATGTATGTAACTAGAGTAGTACAATAATAGATCGAGTGTCACAAATCAAATTCGGGTACAATATGATGAACTATTATTACAATGACGCTAAAGTTTATATATGTGTTGGTGTTAATGAAATATTGGAAACTTAAACACAACTATGAAAATCAAAGAAGGCTAAAGATAATGATTGTATTGACATGTATAAGACTGAAGATATTGTTTCCACTTACAATATGAGATTAAAAATCGTATTTATAACTTCAGTAGTAATAGTAGTAGTAAAAAAGGAATTTTTTATATTGGTCCTTGGATGATTTCTATACTGAGGGATGAGGGATATTTATAGGATATTGTTTGCCATATGCTAACAGGAACCAACTATTATCAGAGGTTATGTGTTTGATTTTTGACATCAAATGTCAGCTCTGGTTAAAATTTGAAAATAGATTTTGTTGACTATTTTGGCCAACATTTAGTGAATACATTTTATATATTTTGACATTAATGAGCCAGTAGCTTAGTGATAAAGAATCTTATCTCTTAAGCAAGAAATTAGAGGGTCAAATGTGGACATCAACATTTCTTTTGTTTTATAACATAAAGGACCAAACCGAAACAAATTCAAGATTGGAACACGCTGTAGGCCCCACCATAATTGTCAATTTACTTTCTTTGGAATCGGGTTGATATCATCATATATGGGCCGAAATTTCAGGGCCCACTATCTTTCAAAATAAATGGGCCATAGGCATAGTTTGTGGACTCGCAGACCAGTTATAATGGGCTTTGAACCCGACAGAATGAAAACAGAAAACCTTCAATACATGTTATTTATTAGGACTGTGGTCCACTTTGGTAAATGGATGTTACTTGATAGTTCTGAGCTGATTTGGTTAATTAGATAATATAACTACTTGATAACATTAGCTAATTGTAGAAAGGTGTTTGGTAAATTAACTGTTAGCTGATAGCTGTTTGGTATAATTTATTTTCTCAAAAAGTTAATTAAAAAAGTTGTTTTGATCAGTTTTTTGAATTTTAGCATTTTGGAATTACAAAAAGCTAATTAACCAAACACTTATATTGATTTTTTTAATTAAGTCAAACAACTAATAGTGGTCAAATAAGTCAAAATTGACCTATAGGCTGAATATTTTACCAAACAGGACCTATGTATTTTAGACACACTAATAATAATAATAATAATTTCTCTTCATGTATTATTGAAAATATATCATTTACCATTTATATCCTGAAATTCTATGTATCCTTATAAAATAATATTTTTATGTACTTTAAATATTATAGATTTATCAATAATGAAATCATTCATAAAATTATTGTTCTCATTTGATATTAGTAGACCAAATGAACGATCCATGACGACAAACCCTACAAAAAAAAAAAAAAAACAAACAAAAAAACAAACAAAAAAAAAAAAAAAACAAACAAACAAACAAAAAAACCACCAACACCAACCCTAGGGATGGCAATTTCAATCCGCCCCACAGATATCCACCCGAATACACTCGGCATGGATCGGGTTTTTTAGGTGATGGTGGGTGGTGAATCGGTGGTAGGTGTTAAAAAAGTAAACCCGTGATGGGTCTGGTTGGGTTCGAATTCTATGTACAAAACCCGCCTATAACACATCTGACCCACTCTGTGTGTATATATATATATATATATATATATATATATATATATATATATATATATATATATAAAAAATAGTAAAATAAGTACTAGTATGTAATTATTTATAAAAATTTATATAACTTCGTGTATCTTTTTATTATTTTTATATCTAAACTACTAAGTTTATTTTTAAAAATTAACAATTTAATTATTATATTTAAATATTTATATTATTTTATGTTTTAATATCACTAACTAATGAATTTTATTATTGTATTATGGGTAAGTAATTTAAATATTATTTTTTTAAAAATAATAATAATAAGATGATAAGTGGTGGGCACCCGCACCCGATGAAGTATGGTAGATGGAGAAAATATAAGATGAGTCGAGTGATGGATGTAGTCCTTGATCCACCCTGACTCATTGCCATCCATAACCAACCTTCTGCCGCCATGCCGCATATGGACTTTGGCCAAGACATCACCTCCTCTTCTCGCAACGTTTCCAATATTGCTTAATAACTTTATAGACATATCTTTAAATTTTGACTGACATCGCAATTTGAAAAAGAAACACAATGACAACTGTTGAGAAACATGCAAGATCAATAAATCAAGAGTAAATACCCAAAATGGTCCCTCGACTATAGCTAAATTCCCAAATTGGTCCTCAACTTTCAATTTTAACCAATTAAGTCCTTAAGTTTCAAAATTTGACCCAATTTCGTCCTATGTTAAATTCTCCGTTTAATTCCCGTCAAGTTGAAGGTCAGAGTGGTAATTTCCCCTCCTGCGTGCGTTCTCCCTTCATCTCGTCGGTTATAAGATGTAGAATAATCCCTAATTGTCATTCATTCTCTTCATACCCTAAATTCAGTTTCTCCCTTCACCGCCTTCTTCGAGATGCATTCGAACTACAATGAAGACAGCTATGGTTCCTCAAGAAACCACTCATTGTTTCAACACGGTGAAGTAATGTCGAATATGCGTTGTCATTGTGGTGAATCGTTGAAGCTACACACCTCATGGACGAATGACAATCCTGGGAGAAGGTATTGGGACTGTGGACTGAATATGGTGAGTAATTTCTGACAATTTATATTTGTTTAGTGTTTAATTTTAGATTGTAATAGGTTTTGGGTTTTGGGTTTTGGGTATAGGGCAGGAGAGTGGATGGGTGTGGATTCGTAAGATGGTATGATCCTCCTATGTGTGCAAGGTCAAGGGCAACATTCCTGGACTGTTACGGCGTATAAATCGAAATGAGGAGGAAATCCAAAAGTTGAAATCAAGGTTGAGAGCTACAGCTACTGCAGAAGATCATTTGTATATATGGTAAAAATCAAAGTGTTCTTATCTCCTGGTGATGGTGATGATTTCAATTGATGCAGTAGCAGTGTTAGTGATGGTGTTGTGTAATTCCAATTCTAGAACTGTAGGTGGTGGAAAATTAGTTAAAACGCGTCCCTTGGCATTGTAGACTAGAAGTGAAATTGTATTTGTAATTGCACTAATTTATGATCAATGAAGTGTTTTGTGATTTAATGTGTGTATATAATTGGGTAATTTTCAGTTTAGTTTGGTCTCAGTAATGTCAAAGTTACTGCATAACCAAAGTCACCAGACAATTGCACTGCATAAGTAAAGTAACCAATTGGACAATTGCACTGCATAACCAAAGTAACCAAATGGACAATTGCATTGCATAACCAAAGTAATCAAATGACAATTGCACTGCATAAGCAAAGTAACCAAATGTGGACCTTTTCATTGCATAACCAAAGTAACAAAATGACAGAGCCTTTTCATTGCATAACCAAAGTAACAAAATGACAGAGCTAAATTTTACCAAAATGAGACAGTCAATGTTTACCAAAATGAGACAGCCAATTGTCTAACTAGAGACCAAAATGAGACAGCCAATTGTCTAACTAGAGTTTACATACTGCCAAATGAGAGTGCCAAAATTGTGTAACTAGAGTTTACATGGCACATATCAAACACAAAAAAAGAAAAAAAAAACAAAAGCTCTAATAGAAATGTCTACATTGTCTCATCAGTCAAGGTTAAATGTCCAATCACTTTTTTCCTTTAGCTTTGCCAGTAGATGTAATGACTTGTTTTCCTCCCACATTGTCTATGGTCTTTATCTTTTTTTTGGTGGTGGTCCTTGAGCTCTCATTTGATTTCCAACATTTAAGCTTTCACCTAAACAATTGCAAAGTAACAACCATTAGTGACTATCATTATCTAAAACCAACATATATAAGACTTACATCCCACCTGGAATTTCATTACTTGATAGATGCACTAATTCAACAGGAAGTTCAAAAACATAGGCAGGGTCATCATGCTCAATCTGGATGTCTATATCAGTACCATATTCAGGTTGTGTCTGAATTGGTATCTCTTCTTGATGAGGGATATCAGCACCTAAGTAGTTCTGCCAGGCCAACTATTAGTGGTGCACAAAATGAGACAGCTAATAACAATTAAAATATGCTTAACAGCTATTAATTATACCTGGACAGAAGTGGCAGTTGCTGGATGAGTGACCTGTGCGGTAAAAGGTGTAATTTTGTTGCCTAAGGTTATTTAGCCCAATATCTGTTTTCAATAATTTCAAGAACCAACACCAGGAGTCTTTATTTTCCCCTTCTACTATGGCATATGCAATTGGAAATATGCTATCATTAGCATCTACACCAATGGCAGTAAGCATCATCCCTCCTGCTTTGCCTCGAAGGTGACATCCATCCACACCTACTAGTGGCCTACAATGCTTAAAACCCTCTCTACAAGCCTCCCAGCAGATATAAACTCTAAGCAATCTGTGCTTGCCACCCTCATATCTTAAATCAGATAACTTGGTAAGAAACCTTGTGTTTGGATTTGTTTTTTTTATCTCCAACTCATAATTCCAAATTTTGTTGAAGTTGTCTTCTAGTTCACCCTTGATTGCCTTCTTAGCCAAACACATTGCATTGTATGCTTGCCTAACAGTTAAGTCATGGTGATCCTCAGTGCATACTTTCTTTCTAAATTCACTAGTTTTCCATTCACTATTCCCATCAATCTGATTTCTCCATCTTTTTGCAATTAGTGAGGCAGTTACCAATCTGTTTTCATGTACCCATGCACAATCATTGTGCTCATCAACTAAAACAATAATTCTCCAACATTGTTCATCTGGATCTCTTCTACAGTTAACCCTCCAATTACAGCCCTCTTGCACACACTTGGCAATACACCTAACCTTGTCATTCTTCACAAATTTTAACTCCTTACCAAATTGTAACCCATATGTTTTCACAGCTTCTCTAAAATCTCCTTTGGTAAGAAATGTTTTCCCAAGCCACAGTGGAGATGGCAAAACTGGCCTAGGAGGTACACATTCCCTCCCATTTCCCTCACCAGATTCCCTAACATATCCCACAGACCTCACATTTCCCTCAGTTTCTTCCCCTTCACTGCCAGAGAAATGGATCTCAGCATTGATATACTTTGGATCCAATGTTTCAGTATTTTCTTCAACTCTATCACAACCACCATCCTCATCACCTCCATACTCAACATTTGGATCAATATACTTCAGAAACTCTAAGTCATCTACTCCAGTTTCCTCATTCTCATACTCACCTGCAGAATCCCCCTGCAGCCAATCAGAACCACCCTCACTCTCATCTGCACTGATTTCAGCTTCACCACCATTTGTTTCATCATTTCCAACCACCCTTAAGACAACCCATATCTCTACTACCTTTGGTCTAACAACATAGTTTGCTAATACACAAGCATCCTCATCTGTAAGCAACTCTACTAAACCATTATCACTCAAATTAAACAACCTAATGTTGTCTTCCTTCTTATATCCCACTTCATAAACCTTTTCCTTTAATGTCATCATGCCCCACTCATCTGAATCCATTTCTGCAAAGGTTTTAACTCTCCCCTCCAGATATCTAGGTGGGTTACTTTGAACAATTCTGCCCTCATATCTTAACTTCAGAAAAAACTTGTACCCATTTACTGCTAGTATAAAAATAACCAAACATGGGGTCAAACAAAGCACTTAAATAATGCACTTACAATAAACTAAAGCACTTTAATCATGCACTACAAGCCAAACACAATTGGAATTACAAGTAATACAATACACTTTAATAATCTAAGATGTTAACAAAGTAAGTGTATAGTCCCCATGCTTGTTTGAAAAGGATTACCCACTGGTCCCCACAGTTCTCAACCTCTATTCATGGTCCCATTGCTTAAAGCCAATTTTATAAACAAAAATCAACATATAAACTTTAAAACCAGACAAACATACATCAAAACCAATACCCACTACTCCCCCACTGGTCCCCAAATTCCCCAACAACTATTCACGCTCAGCATATATAAACTTTACAGACAAACATTTACACACTTCGACTAAAAATAACGAAGAAAAAACATACCTAGTCCACTGCTTCCATGGCTTGTACGACCTTGCGCTCCTAGCCACGCCATGAGCACCTCGACTTTCAATTTCAACGAAGATATAAAATTCACAGGTTAGGTTTTGTTAATTTGGAGATTTTAACGAAGAGAAAGGCAGCGATGCAGAGATTCGGAGAGGCAGAGATTCAGAGATGCAGAGATTAGATTTTATTATTTGGGGATTTTGCTTGTTTACTTGGTGGATAGGTGAAGTGCAAAGGCGGGAATATTGTGCAAAGGCGGGAATGCTGTGCAATTACCACTCTGACCTTCAACTTGACGGGAATTAAACGGAGAATTTAACATAGGACGAAATTGGGTCAAATTTTGAAACTTAAGGACTTAATTGGTTAAAATTGAAAGTTGAGGACCAATTTGGGAATTTAGCTATAGTCGAGGGACCATTTTGGGTATTTACTCATAAATCAATAACAAAGTTAAAAAAAAAATCAAAAAAAGTATTGGTTTGACAATGTATCTACCACCACAAGAGTGAAACAATTCTTTTATTAATTGCATGTGATGATAATACATTACAAACATTATAGGGATAATTGCACTTTTTCATCTATAGGGTAATTGAATGATTTGTCTCTACTTGTTGGTTGTGTTCACTTCTAGTCCATAAGTTATAACTAATGTTGCCAATTTCATTATTTTTCTAATAGGTTGTACTCACTTCTCGTCCTTAAACTATAATCGAATTAAAAATTCCGTCCCTAGCTAATGCTTTGTTAGATAAGTGACGAAATTTGCAACGTCAATTATAGCTTATAAACAAAAAGTGAGCATAACCAACAAGCAATGACGAATCTTATAATTGCCTTGTAAAGTAAGAACTGAAATTGTAATTTTTTTCAACATTACATTTATATGTAACCCTAACCTAATAACCTATGTTAAATTTACGAAATTACATTATTCGTACTGTATCTAGGACATTATCCCGTATCCCTAACTCACTCAGTGAACCCAATTCGCTTTAATTTAACATTTGTTATCGATCTTTTAATAACATATAAGACATATACAAGAGAGTCAACCAGGCACTCCGAGCAGAAGATGGGTGGAGGTGACCACTTTTGTGTCCCAATTAAGTAGAATAATGATTGAGGAGTAGTGCAATGCAAACTCATCCACACTCCAGGACTCCTGCATGCAAACAACAATATATTCAAACACTTGATGATATGTACTATGTAGTGTGTGTTCTTCATTTGTGGGCATCCCTGTTACACTGCACGTGAGAGGCCGGTTAGTTGGCCCTGAGGTTGACCATATACGGGATAGTACTCCGTATGCCGCATGATGTTTTGTTTTATAAGTTTGCAGTGTGGCCATGGCTTGACTACTAAGGTCACACTCCAATCAACTCAGTAGTTAATGATGCCGCGTTCCACTCCTGTAAATGCATATATGAAACAACATGTATATATGTGTTTCAATATAATGTTAGAATGTCTGCAAATTAAATCAAACCTTACAACTTCGACCTCCAATTTTATATGCCAATTACTATGTAGTGTCATGACATAATCACGGTTATCATTCAAAATGGGTGGTTATAGGTTTGAACCTAGTTGTGGGGCTTAGTTTATTTGGACTGAAAATGATTGAGAAAGTGTAGAACATATAAAAATGTTTAGTATTTATATGCTGCCGAACATTAAAGAACTGTTTTGTTTGGGTATACGTACCCAGGGTTTCCACCGCCAGGATTTAAGGCGTCAAGGATTGTACCATTAACCTTTGATTAAGGATGAGTGAGTCTCTTCCACTCAACTACGCTCCCAAGTTAAGGAGCAGTATAATTCTTAATTAAAGATAAGAATAATTATGTGAGTCCAAATTAGATATAGAGTTATGTAGTTGAGTGGTAGACTAACATGGTATGTACTCAACTAATTGGGCATAACTGAAGTCTGAATCAGATTCACAACTGTCTACAGTCGGTGCATGTCATCTTTGTGAGGTCTAATTTCGTATATACAGTACCTAGTATGATCCACTTTTCTTATTCTTTTCAAATTTGTGAAATTAAATAGTAATAATAATAAATAATAAATAAATACATCAAATAATTGTTGAAATGATGGCGTTCGAAGTTCCAACGTTGACGCCTAACAAATTAAAGAGTAAAGGGCTTTTGGTTGTCTGGGTAAGTTTATGCATAACATTTTATTTATTTTTCGTTTTATTTGTTTGTGTGACATATTTGGTTTGCCAAATTTGAGATCTGCACCCTCGTATCCGACCCTTCAACCAATAGTGTAGCAATTTCTACTATTATAATGATGTTCACACCAAACAATAATTTTTTCACTTAATAGACCATTGAGTTATCGTAATTTACTCGTTCACTATCATTTTAAGTTGGAATGTGAGGGAATATTGAGGGGAAGGAAATTTCGTTTTTGTGGACAATAATAATGATATTCACCCCTCTAAAATGTTGTTTTCCTAACTAGTATTTGCGCCCGTGCGTTGCACGGAATGAATTTGTTAAAATATTTTAAAAATATTTAGATTGATATACAATTGTATAAATTATAACATCGAATATTATATAATATAATTGAAGAATTGAGTTGCACCGATTATGTTTTCTGATGTTATCAATGCTTGAATTCGAGTAAATAATTTCCTAATTAATAGCTAGCATGTAGATATACACATTCATTGTTACCACTCTAGAGATTTTATATATCAGTGTTTAGAATTTGTATTAATTGGGCTAATTAGCTCGTTGTCTAGCAACTCGGTTATATAAATTATTTATACGGAAGTTATATTTTATATGTAGATATATATATAGCAATTTTGTCATTTTTGTATATATAAAAAAAAACATAATATCAATGGCTTGAATTATACATTATTGAAAATCTCTTTGTAGACAACATTGGTAGTAGTAACGAAATTTTATCCATCATTGTCTAGAGTTAAAACAATTAGACCATCAGGATGGGTGACTCGGGAAAAAGTCACATACAATTAACCGTGATTAAAGATAATTTTTCAGTAATAACTCAACTTGAGTTATTGTTTGACCCTGACTTTTGTTGATAGTCATGGCATATGCGAACATCAACGTGAATTATTTTTGTTAGAACTTGAAGGGCAATCTCATATCAGAAGGGTGAAAGACATTTTAATTGAAGATTTTACTTTTATTAATACTATAGATATAAATTGGTGTAAATAATAATTAATAAAGTATTATTTCCTCATAAAATTACATAGAATTTCAAATGGATTTTCTCATTTATTACGCAGAATTTGTTTATGTTATTCTCACAATTATAATGGTTTAATTATTCTCAGAATTTGATAACTATTTTCCATTTTTAAGTACACATTAACTTTAATTTGTGATAAAAAATCATTAGATATTAGTTAATTTTTATATAAAATTTTGTTACCAATTAAGCTTTATTGATTTTTTTTTTTTACAAATTAATTAATACTCATATTAATTTGGGCGGGAATGTTGAAGATGAGGATTTTACTTTTATTAATAGTATAAATTGATGTAAATAATAATTAATAAATTATTATTTCTCTATAAAATTACGTAGAATTTCAAACGAATTTTCTCATTTGTTACGCAGAATTTGTATTCATTATTTTCACAATTATAATAATTTAATTATTCTCAAAATTTGGTAACCATTTTCCATTTTTATGTACATAGTGACTTTAATCTTTGGTAACAATTCATTATATATTAGTTAATTTTCATATAAATTTTTTATGTGTTATTTGTTTAAGCTTATTCGTCTCTCCAATATTATTGTTCATGCAACTGATTTAGTAACTTTCACAATAAATTTCACATTGGTATTTAATACCTTAAATTGATGTAATTTCATTTAGGCGGGAAACTGATGTGGCAAAAAATATTTTGCTATTATATAGAGTAATAAGATAAGATAAGATAAGATTTGAAATAAAAATAGAAAAAATAAAAAGATGTTAAAATGTACAATATAATAATATAGTTAAACTTTTATATATTTGGTCAAGTATCTATTTTCATAACATACAAAATTAAAATTTAAATTTTGTATGGTTAATATAATATCTAATCATTTATATATTTAGATAAATTTATAAAAAAAATTCATATAATTAAGTTGATTTATTCCAAATTGTATTTCATATATATTATAATTCTAAAAATATGAATAATAATAACTAAGAGAATTGTACTTAGAAATTAATAAAAAATATAAATTCTAAATTTTGTATGAATAAATAAAAACTCTAATCGGATGCATATCCTTATATGATTGTATAATACATTGTATATACACATAATATTTATTAATATGTATATAGGAAAATTCATAATTATATATAATTTCATTAATTATAATTTATATTGATAGATTTATACTTTAAAAATTTATATTTAGAAATTTAAAAAGTGTATGTATGTATGTATGTAGAAATTTATATTTTTTGGCACAATATATATATTTCGTGTTTATATAGTATATTTTTTGGTATCAAACATTTGAATGGCATTTTGTAATTTGAATGGTAATATACAGTGGGGAAATGGTAATATACGGGGGGAAATGTCAACATACAAATGGTAATTCTTTAATTACTATACTAATTTTAATGGTAATTCATTAATTAATTACTATATTTCTCGATGAGTCAACCTGGTCATGCCCATCCTTTTTCTAGAAACATACAAATGAAATAGTCAATTATTAAAATTGTTTTTTGATTTCATTTTTAATTTTTGTCTAAATTTAAAGATATATATTTTCGGGGATTATAACATTTTTTGTATTAATTGAAAATTTGAAAGTTTTACCTTTCTTGAGATCTCTTACCATTTTATAATTTCAATATTGTGCCATTTTGAACTCATCCATGGTGTATAAATACACTCTATATGACCATACACAATCCATTGAGGAGACATTTGTACTCAATAGTAAACTTATCCTTAAACTAAACTCGGTTGTCAAGAAAATCACCATTTTCATTCATAATGATATTCCTATTTATGAGTCTCTC